GGCTTCCGCTGGCGGTGGCGGCCTCGTTTTCTTTCCGCCGACCTTCCGCCGCCCTTTCGCCGCCTTCCGCCGCGGAAGAGATGGCAACTCTTGCGATCCTGGAAGGCAAGGCCCTTTCTGGAACGCCCCAGATAAAACATTTCTCCCGCCGCTGTATACACCGATCCTGGGCCCAGGATGGGCCTGGCCAGGATCGTTGTGGGTACATAGCTGGCGCCCTCGCACCAGAGGATCGAGAGCCTCTTTTGCTCCGATTGCGGATCCGCCGTACGTTGGTTGATTCTCTATTCAAGTTGTGTCGGAAATGCACCCCGAACGAATCGAAGAAGAAGCAACGCCATGATTATAAACTTTTGGCACTCTGCGCGGATTTCTTGGATCCGCGCTGGGGCCCCCTAGCGGTGCCTATGACGCCGCCCCTGTGGGGTCTGGCGCGGGTCCAAGAAATCCGCGCAGAGCGCCAAAGATTTCTGTTTATGCCGTTGTTGTTGTTGTTGATGTTGTTGTTGTTGTTGTTGTTGCTGTTGTTGTTGTTGTTGATGTTGTTGTTGTTTCTTCGTCTTCTTCTTCTTCGAATGCACCCCAAACGAAGCGAAAAGGTAAGGCGTATATTTGCGCCTCGGAAAATCAGGGCGGCTACTTTCACAGAAGGATGGTGGAAACAGTGATGGCAAAGTAGGGCGAGCATCGACATCAAAGTAGTTTGAAAAGCATGGTGTGAGTTTCCGCCCTACTTGCGAAATCGCCCCAAGTATGTCGGGACCGGAGTTAGGGTGAACCTCCAGTGTGCAGGTCGAACTTTCAATTTGGAGGTTTTCTATTCGGTCTCGAGTGCGAGCCTTTGAGGCAAGGGGCTCCTGCGTGTATCATGTTCCTGCTTTCACGATCCAACCGTGCCCCTGACTTGACACGCTTTGGATGTCATGCGCTCTTAAACTCAATCCTTGTGACCGGTGTTCAACGTGCCGCCATGTGCTGCACTGCGTAGGTTGCGCTGCATGGGTCGGCCCATCCACCCGCCCTCCATATGTGAAACTTCTGCGGACGCTTAGAACGCATGCGCGCAATGCGAAGGCGAGAGCCACATCTTGGAAATGGCCCGCCCTCCATCCGTGAAGCTGCTGCAACTGTTAAGCTTCAGGATCATACATGGTGAGGAAGTCTCATGCGAAACGCCCAGCCCACCCTACCGACACGTCTCGGGGTGCGACAGGGATGGAGGTGGATTTGGAAAAGGAGGAGGAGGAGGAAGAGGAGGAGGAGGATAAAGAGGAAGGGAAAGAGGAGGAAGAGGAGGACCAGTGTAGACCCAAGATTATGTTGGACTAAAACCCTCCCTCCAATCTCCCCCTTCATAGGTCCCTACAGGGATTGATTACTATTGAGGGAAGGGCCCCACTGGGAGACAACCGCTAGACGACCCTGAAGCGCGCCAGAACGTCATTTCCAGGATTCCAACGCCACGCATCAACAGGACTGTTCCGTCTTGACGATCCTGAATCGTGCCAGAACGCCGTTCCTCGGCATTCAACACCGCGGGTCAACGTCGAACTGGTGCGCTCTGACAATCCTCAATCGCTCCAAAACGCCCTGTCTGGTACGTTGACCATGGGAATATGTGAAACTCTTGCAAATGTTTAAAACGGATGTGCGCGACGCTGAGGCGAGAACCACATTTTGAAAACGAGCCGCCCTCAATCCGCGAAATTCCTGCAGTTTTTCAGGACGTAATGCGCGCGGCGTGAAAGCGAGAGCCACATGTTGAAAAACACCCGCTCTCCATTCGCTAAACCCTCGCAATGTGTTAAGACGAATGCGCGTGGCGATACGGCGAGAGCCACTTTCTGAGAACGACCGACCCTCCATCCTTGAAGCTCATGCACTTTTTATTTACCAGAACGAATGTGCGCGGCGCTAAGGCGAGAGCCACATTTTGAAAGCCACCCGTCCTCCATCTGTAAAGCTGCGGGCATGTTTAAAAGTTCATGGTCACAAGCGGTGAGGAAGTCTCATGCGAAACGCCCGGCCCGCCCTTTCGATCGTCTTCGGGGCTCGACAGGGAGAAGTTACTGATAAGGAACAGGAATGGAGGAGGAAGAGGAGGAGGAGGAGGAGGAGGAGGAGAAAGAGAAAGAGAAAGAGGAGGAGGGGGTGGAGGAGGAGGAGCAGCAGCAGCAGCTGCAGCAGCAGCAGCAGCAGCAGCAGAAGCAGACGCAGCAGGAGCAGCAGGAGCAGCAGGAGCAGCAGGAGCTGCAGCAGCAGGAGCAGGAGCAGGAGGAACAGGAGGAACAGGAGGAACAGGAGGAGGGGAAGGAAGAGGAGCAGGAGCAGGAGCAGGAGCAGGAACAGGAGCAGGAGGAACATGAGAAGGACGATGAGGGGGAGGAGGAGGAGGAGGAGGAGGAGGAGGAGGAGGGGAGGACGAGGAGGGAGGAGGAGGAGGAGGAGGAGGGATGAGGAGGAGGATGAGGAGGAGGAGGAGAAGGAGAAGGAGAAGGAGGAGGAGGAGGAGGAGGAGGAGGAGGAGGAGGAGGAAGGAGGAGGAGGAGGAGGAGGAAGAGAGAGGAGGAGGAGGAGGAGGAGAGGGAGGAATTTGAATTGGAGAGCAGGAGGGGAGGAGGAGGGAGGAGGAGGAGGAGGAAGAGGGGAGGAGGAGGAGGAGGAGGAGGAGGAGGAGGAGGAGGAGGAGGAGGAGGAGGAGGAGGAGGAGGAGGAGAGGAGGAGGAGGAGGAGGAGGAGGAGCAGCAGCAGGAGGAGGAGGAGGAGGAGGAGGAGGAGGAGCAGGAGGGGGAGGAGGAGGAGGAGGAGGAGGAGGAGGAGGAGGAGGAGGAGGAGGGGGAGGAGGAGGAGGAGGAGGAGGAGGAGGAGGAGGGAGGAGGAGGATGAGGAGGAGCAGAGGAGGAGGAGGAGAAGGAGGAGGAGGAGGAGGAGGAGGAGGAGGAGGAGCAGCAGGAGGGGGAGGAGGAGGAGGAGGAGGAGGAGGAGGAGGAGGAGGAGGAGGAGGACCCTAACCACCCAGGAGCAGGGGGCTGGTGGTTCTTACCAGGGTCTTTAGGTGGGCGGGCCCCGTGCCGGAGAGATCTCCGAGAGGGCGGGCGCCTCAGGGAGTTGCGGCGGCGGCAGCGGCGCTGATCTCTCGGGCTGGTCGGGGTCGAGCTCACTTCTGCGAGCCTGCGCTCTCGCACCGCCGCGCTGGGCAGGCTCAACCTGTGAGCCCACAAGCCCCGCCCGCGCCGCTGCGTGGAGCTGGCTCTCTCTTCATGGTGGAAGGAATAAGGGGTCCGGGCGGATGCTGCCTCGGGGAGTGGCGGCGGCAGCGTTGCTGATCTCTCGAGCTGGTCGGTGTCGAGCTCGATTCTGCGAGCCTGCGCTCGCCCTTCGCGGTGGAGGGAAGAAGCCTATGCTCACGCAGAGCGCGCGGAAGGAAACAGCCAACGGACGGACGGACGGACCGGCAGGACATGACGAGACGACATTGCACCGCAGCTCCTCGAACGAGCACCCAGGCGAGTAAGTGCGCGCCCCCGTGCGCAGCAGTCCCCGATGGGACAAGAGACGAGAGACGGGATCCCGGGCGGGCGCCGCCTCTCAGGGAGTGGCGACGGCAGCGGAGCGCTGACCTCTCGGGCCCGTCGGAGTCGGGCTCGCATCTGCGAGCCTGCGCTCTCTCCTCGCGGCGGGGTCCGGGCGGGAAGCGCCGCCGTCGTGGTCCAGGCGCTGCGGCCGCCGGTGCCGCGCGCGCCTATAGCCTTTGTGGCCAACGGCCCCCTCGGTCTGCGACCCGTGGCCGCGCGACAGCTGGGCGGGCAGGCGCGCGTGCCGCACTGCAGCGCAACGAGCAGGGCGCCACGGGGGCGGGAGGGGCGGACCGAGGCGCGCCGGTGGCAGCGGCGCGCCGCCCCGAGGAAGGGGCCCTGGAGGTTCGTTCGCCGCCCCCGAGCTCCGGGGGCCTTCCCCGGACCCTTGGAGGGCTGTAAAAGGGCGGCCCCCCCCACGGAGACCAGGGCCCGCCCCCCACCCTCGCCCATTGTGCCTGTTTCCCGCCTCCGTTCCCTCCTGCGCCCCTTGTGCTATTGGACGACCAAGCTGTTTTCGACCGCTGCGCTTCAGCACCGTGGCCGCTGGCGCTGAGGTGTGCACCGCCTCCAAGAGGTATTCTGTGACATGCGCACGCTGCCGTTGCAAAGCCCTGTGCGCACTCGAGGGAGCAACCAGAAATGATCGAGCCGGCCCGCCTGGCTCTGTCAGGGCTGTCTATCCCGATCGCTGGGCGCCAGACGCCCGTGGCACGAAGGGCCGGTGCTCCCGGCGCTCTCTGGCTCAGGCTGGCCCTCGGCGGGGCGCCCGGCGCTCGGCGCGGGCCGGCCGAGAGTCGCCCCCGTCGGGGCAGGCAGGCGCCCGCCGCAGGGGGCGGCCCAGGCCGGAGGCCAAGAGGCTGCACGACACACCTCCAAACTGTCGCACGCTCGCGCGGGCTCCCTGGGTCGGCGCTGCCTTCCCCCTCCCCGCGCCCCTGGCAGCGCCTCTGACGCCGCCGCGGGCAGGCCGGCAGGGCAGGCAGAGGGCGCCGCGGCCTGGCTCCACCGAGCGCGTTCCACCACTCGCAAAAGTGCCTGCTCGCAAATGTCCGAGAAAAAAAAACGTGCCTGCATCAATGGAATGCACCGTGAATCTCCCTTGGCAGATCCAGGCCATTTGCGAGCAGAGCAGCGGAGCGCGCTTGTCTGTGGCTTTAGTGGGCAGGACTGGCTGCGCCGGGCTCGGGAAGAAACCGCCCGCGCGAGGGGGGGGGGGGGGGGCGCGCCCCCGGCGCCGCCCCAGCCGTGTGCCGCCCAGGCCGGGTGCCGCCTCGCCGCCGCTCACGCCTCCTCCTCCTCCTCCTCCTCCTCCTCCTCCTCCTCCGCCTCCTCCTCCTCCTCCCGCCCTCCCTCCCTCCCTTCCTCCATCCCTCCCTCCCTCCATCCCTCCCTCCCTCCCTCCGCCTCGACCCCGTCCGCGCG